TCGGGCGGATTGACGCGAATCTGGTGGTAACCCCATCGGAGGTCGATTTTCGAGAAAACCCGAGCTGTGCGCAGTTGGTCGATCAGTTCGTCGGCTCGCGGGATGGGGTAACGGGATTTGATGGTAACCCTGTTCAGTGCTCTGTAATCTATGCACATGCGAAATCCCTTGTCTTTTTTCAGTGTGAACAGTATCGGTGCGGCGAAGGGCGACGAACTATGGCAAATGAATTCCTTCTCGAGCAAGTAATCGAGCTGCTTCCTCAGTTCGTCCAGTTCGGGCTGGGTCAGTCGGAACTGTCGCTGTACTGTTGGCTGTGCCCCCGGTTCTAACTCTATCCTGTGGTCGTGCGGTCGCTGAGGTGGCAGTCCTGTCGGTAAATGGTCCGGGAAAATGTCGCTGTACTGCTTCGACAGTGCTGCCAGATCACTCGGTACGTCGGCCAGCAGTTCTGTAAATCCCCTCCTTTGTCTGCTGCCTCGGCTTCCCGAATGTCGACCGCGTACACGTCAGCTCCTGCCGCTACAGCGCGTTTCATCGTGATCGCGCTGACACGCACTGACGAAGACTCAGGCGAGCCCCAGCGAGGTAAGGCGATGTTGTTACCGTTCACTCGCACGGTGCAGTCACCCGTCGTCCAGTCGATTCGCGGATTGTGTCGTCGCAGCCAATCACGCGCGAGTAAAATATCGGTTCCGTCGAGGGTCGTTGCAAGCATTTCCTGGCTAAACGTGAAGTTACTCCCACATCGAATCCGAACCCGGTCTATGCGTTCCCGTATTGCCAGTGGCGTGCCGTCTACCAGTCTTGCGTCGATCTCAGGTAAACATCTATCCAGTGGTAGTCGCAGTTTTCGTGCTGTAGCAGTGTTGATGAGGCTGTGGCTGGCTCCCCCGTCTACGAAGATTTTTACTAAGTCCGTCCCGATTTTCCCACTAAGCAGTATGGGGCTGTCTACCGTGGTACCCTCCTTATTCGGCCGGGAGTGGTCGATTGCGTGAACCGGCACTATCACTCGGTGAGGGTCAGTTGGGTCGGGCGAGCGGCGTGACCTGTCAGTAGAGGGCCCGTCTGCTACTGACTCCCAGCGTTTCCCTGCTGCTTGGTCTGTTTCTGCTGCTCAGCTTCCCCCTTTCCCATAGCGTTTTCTAGGCATTCGCTCTTGCGATGTCCCGGCCGATTGCACACAAAGCAGCGCCCTTTGAACGGTGCGACAGCGGCATTTGCGGCGACGGCACGTATCGTGGCGCCCTCGTTCGTCCCGCGAGGCCGATGTCCCCAATGGCAGCTTCCGTAGGACCCCGGTCTCGGTGGGCAGAAGAAATCCAGTTTCTCCGCCATAGCGAGAATTTCTTGAAAATTGGTGACGCCGCGAAGCTGGATTTCCTTAGTGATGTCCTGCTTCAGGCCGCCGATGTAGCGGTCGATGCGCTCGCTCTCGTGCATATATCCCACCTGCTCGCATAGCGCCAGAAATCCGCTCGTGTAGTCTTGGACGGAACCGACTTGGCGCCAAGTGCGGAGCTTCTGTCGCGCCGCGATCGAAGCCGCGATTGGCTCGAAACGAGCGCGCAGACCAGCGCACCACGCGTCCCACGTGCGATACTGGGGCACCTCTACGGGTCCGGTTTGTCCTTCCCGTGTCGGTGGAGTCGCGTAGTCCACCGGCTTCGTGACGATGACGCGCCACCAGTCCATGGCGGGTCCTCGCAGCAACGACACGGCGTAAAGAATCTTCGCCGTATCCTCCGAGACGTAGTTCGCATCGAAGAAAACGTTAAACGTGAAGAGCCACGCCTTGTTGAGAATAGAACGAGAATGAATGAACTATGAATGAAGTGAGTACAAATAGGAAACCCTAACTGGGTTGTACCCCCTATGGGATACCCCACTACAGCCTACACAATAGTATAAGCTATATATATGTTCTGACACACCCCCATAGGCAAAGTGGGGGAGAATAAGGGGTCACAAGACCAGTCAAGCAAGACAAAGCAAAGCTCAGGGTGGATCACAAAGTCACCACACAGTCCGAGAACAAGAGCAAGGCCAAAGGCAAGTTCACATGCAAGAGTACAGACATATATATAAAGCTAGACAAGCAAGAGCAGGTATATATATGTCACAGTACAAGTAAAGTCAAGAGGAGAGCAAGTGAGGTAAGACAGGCACAAGACCCAGCTGGGTGCAGAAGCGCTGATGGTCACAAGGCGCAAGTGCCTTGGTGAACACATCAGCAGTGTTGGCCTCAGAGGCCACGTACGCAAGCCGCAACTGTCCACGCTGCTGTAGCTCACGAGCAAGGAAGTAGCGAAGAGCAATGTGCTTCGTTCTGTGCTCCAGACGCTGCTCTCGACACAAGGCCAGCATGGCCTTGTTGTCTACGTACAGCACTGGAGGAGAACGAGGCGGCTCTCCAAGGTCAGTCAGCAGATAGGTGAGCCAGCGAAGCTCCTGTGCAGCCATGGCCCCTGCGTAGATCTCAGCCTCACAACTGGAGCTGAGAACCGAAGACGAACGAGTAGCCCGCCACGAGACAGAGCCGGAACCAAGGCTGAAGGTGTAGCCCTGTGACGACCGCTGCGTAGCCTGGTCGTCAGCCCAAGAAGCGTCCGCGTGACCTGTAAGGACCACTGGACTCCGCCCTCCAAGCACTAGCCCCATGCCCGACGTACTGCACAGGTAGCGCAATACCCTCTTCGCTGCAGCCATGTGCTCTGGTCGGTGTCTCCCAGGAGGAACATAGCGTGCAAGAATGCTAAGAGGGTATGCAAGGTCAAGTCGTGTGCAGGTCATCAGGTACATGAGGCAGCCAACAAGCTCTGGGTACGGGCCACTCGACTCTACGGACTCATCCGAAGGCAGAGCTGAGAGCGAGTGGTGGGCAGACAGAGGAGTGGCCTGAGGCGAGGAGTACGTGAAGCCGAAGCGCTGAAGGACCTGCTGCACCATGTGTGACTGAGTCAAGGTAATGGTGCGGCGTGCTCTGTCCCGAGTGATCTGCAAGCCAAGGTAGCTGCGCAGTTCACCCAGGTCTGTGCACGTGTGTCTCTTCAGCAGCTCGGACTTCACGTAGGCGAGTCCAGCAGTGTCCGCTATGGCAAAGACCAAGTCGTCAACATACACGAGGATGTAGAACGGCGGCAGTGAAGTGTCGGTGCGCAGAAACAGCGACGGGTCAGCAGTAGAAGGAGCAAACCCAAGAGCCGCAAGCGTAGTCCTCAGTGTGTCGTGCCACTCACGCGGTGCCTGGCGGAGACCGTAGACTGGCCGTCGGAGGCTCCACTGGGTGCCAGGAGGGAAAGTCCCAGTGAAGCCAGGTGGACGGCGCAGCCAGATCTCCTCGTGCAGGCTACCCTGCAGGAACGCAGTGCTGAAGTCGAGAGAGTGAAGCTCGTAGTCGCGCTGAGTGGCTATGTGTAGCAGCACCCGAAGAGTGGTCATCTTCGGGGTGGGAGAGAAGGTCTGAAAGTAGTCAACTCCCTGCCGCTGACTGAAGCCACGAGCGACGTACCGCGCCTTGAAGACAGGTGGAGAGCCTGGCGGCCGCTTCACCCTGAAGATCCACATGCCACTGACGATGTTCGCCCCAGGAGGGGGAACCGCGTCAACGTAGGTGCCTGTGGACTTCCAGGAAGCCATCTCTGCATCCATAGCTGCCTGCCACTGAGAGGAGTAGGGACCCTCTACGGCCTCCGCGTAGGAGCGCGGAGTCGGGATGTCTAGTGCATCCGAGTCTCCCTCAGGAGCAAGCAGTACAGACGCGAGATGAGGTGAAGCAGCAGCCAGACACTGTAACTCCTCCTGCCTGTCCTCTAGAACGTCCGTGCCAAGAGCACACTCACCCCCGACGGACAAAGGACAGACAGACGCAGACTCAGCAACAAGGCTAGCAGCGTAGTCTAGACGACAGCGAGCAGCAAAGTCGACGAGCTCAGCGAGAAGAGCAGACGCAGCAGTGGACTCAAAAGAGGGGTCAGTGACGACAGTAGCAAGGAGACGCGTGACAGTAGGACTGGCAGCACGAAGGGAGTCCGACTCAGGGTCGTCAAGCGCAGGAAGAGAGGACTCAGGAGGAGAAGGCAAAGGGGCACGCAGAGGAGCAGTGGACGGACGCAGAGACATCCGGTGCGTGCCAGGGACAGGAGGAGGACGCTGACGCGAACCGCGACCACTAGCGCGAGCAGCACGAACAGGCGACGCGGGACGAGACGCAGGCTCACGACGCTCAGCAAGACCTTCAGTAGGACCAGTGTAAGGAGAGGGAGCAGGCAGTGGGGAGGAAGGCTCCAACAGTGACTGCGACTGGACAGGCTGTGGACACTCTACCGGAGGAGAAAGACCAAGAATCTGCTGCAGGAGCGGAACGAAGTACGGCCGAGGCCGCGCTGCAGCTCCAGACTCAGCAGGGACAGCACCAGCACCCTCAGCGGCAGGACCTCCGGCAGCACCAGCAGCAGAACCACCTCCAGGACAGACAGCTGGAGTCTCAGCACCAACACCTCCAGCAGCTCCAGCTCCAGTAGGACCCGCAGGCCCAGCAGCTCCGGGACCGGCGGCCCCAGCACCCTCGACGGTCGAAGAAGCTCCAGCTCCGGCAGTACGCCTCCAGCGGCGAGCAAACCACTCGCGCAGCTCCTGTGGAGAGAGGGGCTCCCGCCGAGACGCAGCACCAGGAGAAACCCCAGGCTCAGCAGCCCCAGACGCAGCACCCCCAGGCTCAGCAGCTCCAGACGTAGCACCCCCAGGCTCAGCAGCTCCGGACCCAGCACCCCCAGGCTCAGCAGCTCCAGACTCAGCACCCCCAGACTCAGCACCCCCTAGCTCAGCAGCTCCAGGCACAGCACCCCCCAGCTCAGCACCCCCTGGCCCAGCACCCTCCGCAGTAGCACCCCCAGGCTCGGCACCCCCGCGCACAGCACCCCCAGAGTCAGCACCCCCAGGCTCAGCACCCGCAGCAGCACCAGAGTCACCAGTAACCTCGACCGGGTCAACTGCGTCTACCTGGGACACACCTGAGGGGGCAGGAACCTGAGGGGGGAGGGGGTCTACCGGGGGGGGAACCGGCACAAGGAAGTCCGGTGGCGGGGGAAGGGAAGGAGTGCGGTAGGGGAAGAGGCGGTAGAAGGGGACTGACTCGTCGAACGTGACGTCCTGGGAGGACAGAACACGACGAAAGGAGGGGTGGTAGAACTGCCACCCTGGAGCGTCAGGGGGGAAGCCAAGGAAGACACAGGGAGCAGCACGAGGGGACAGCTTGTCCGCAGACAAGTCGCGGACAAACGCTCGAGATCCCAAGACACGGAACGCAGACGCATCGCCAACCTTCCCCGTCCACAGCAAGACTGGGGACATCGCAGGCCGAGAGACCCTGGGGTGAAGGTTGAGCTGATGCGCCGCGTACCGAACCGCAAACGGCCACAGAAAATGGGGGGCAGCCGCATGCATCATGGACGTACGAGCGACATCCATGACCATGCCAATGCGGCGCTCAGCAATCCCATTTTGCTGTGGAGAGTCCGGAAGCGTGAAGGTCTGGCGGATCCCTCGTGCACGACAGTAGTCTCGCAGAAGGCGAGAGGAGAACTCCCCGCCTCTGTCCGAGTGCAGACGCAGAACAGGAAAGTCCGAGCCAAAGCTCCTCCTGAGCTGGAGACGAGCCTCGCGGATCCAGTCAATCAGCACCTCAGTGACAGCACCCTTGCTGCGCAAGGGGAGGACTGTGGTGTAACGCGAGTAGTCGTCAACCACCAACAGGAAGTAGCGCTCGTGACCCTGCCCACGGACGGGGGCTGGGCCCCACACGTCCATGTGAAGTGTCTGCAGAGGAGCCTCTGTCGGGGGAAACTGGGAGGAGTGAGGAGCAGCCCGGAGGCGCCCCTCGACACAGGGGACACAGGAAGGTCCTGGCCCCGAAGGAAGGGGAGGGAGAGACTGGGGAAGACCAGAGACAAGGACACGGGAAGCCATGCTCCGAAGACGGGGCAAGGAGGGGTGGCCCAGATGGTGGTGCCTCAGGAGGGTCTCGTGAGACAGGAGGCGACACGAACAGGGGGCAGACTCAGGGCCAGACCGGGACGCAGCAGCAAACACCTGACCTGACGCATCTACCTGACCAGACGCAGGGACAGGAGGAGACGTAGTGGTCAGGGTGTAGACACTCGACCCCGGCCGACGCGAGAACGTGGCCAGGTGCCGGCCTGTGCGCGCGTCCGTGCAGTGGGTCACCCGCTGACTCGCAGGAGTGAACTGGTGAACCCACGCATCCTGTAGGTCCGCACCACTCACCAAGTTCGTCGAGAACGAGGGAAGGTACAGACCAGACAGGGTGCCCGAGGGGGCAGCCGGACACGGGAGGACAGTGGAAAAGTGAGAGAGGACAGGACCCCCAGAGGGGTCAGGCAGGGAAACCGCAACCGGCCGACTAAGCGGCGTGAGGGTGGTGCGGTCTCGAAAGAAGGAGCGAGAAGCCCCGGAGTCAAGTGTGAAAGTGAGGGAGGACGAAGGCGACGCAATACCTGAGAGCGCAGTCTCACCAGTACCTGAGAGCGCAGACGCACTGGCACCTAGAGCAGCAGCCTCACAAGCACCTAGCGCAGCAGTACCAATGCCCGGGTCGGGCGGGAAACACCGGTAACAGTCACCCTCCTCACTAATAGTCACAGCATACATAGCAGCAAGGATAGCATCAAAGTCAAGATCAAAGATCGCTACACCAGCCCTAAGAAGCTCATCCCAGCGGGGGATCTCACTAGCCTCGGGGAACTGCTGACGCCAAGCGACCGTCAGGCGGCCAAAGCAGCGCTGGGTGGGGTGGGCACCCCCACACTGCTCACCCGCGCGGTCGCCGGAACGAAGGACGTAGGCACACGGACCAGCACCCCCACCCCTCTGACGCCGAGCGTACCACTCACGTAGCTGCTGGGGCGGAGGGATGTCCCGCGAACGCTGCTGCTGCTGCTGCTGCTGCTGCGGGCGCTGACCACCACCACCGCCGCTCCGCTGCTGGGTACCACCCCGACCAGCTCCACCCCCTCCGCCACCACCGCCTGCTCCTCCGCCCCCTCCACCGCCTCCACCGCCACCGCAGCCGCTATCACCACCGCTGCCGCCACCTCCGCCGCCTCCGCCGCCGCTGCCACCACTACCACCACCACCCCCTCCACCACTCCCGCCGCCACCCCCACTCCCCTCGTCGCCTCCACCGCCACCTCCACCGCCCCCTCCAGCTCCACCCGCACCCTTGCTCCCCTTGCCCTTGCCAGAGCGGCGTCGCCCACTAGGGGCAGACGCCGCGCCGACCGACTCAAGACCAAGCAGGTCGGCAGCAACAGCAGAGGCAACAGAGGGCAGTAGGCGGGAAGGAGAGCACCCCTCAAAGATGGGGGTGCGAGGGTCACCCCGAGAAGCTCCTACAGCGACGATGCTCTTCTCCGCCGCGAGGAGGGCCTTCTCAAGGAGGTCGACAATGAGGGTGGTGGGATAGACTGCGAGAAAGTGGTCCCTGACTACGCGAAGAGAGTCAGGGAGGCGCGCGACTACGTAGTAGAGAGTGATGTACATGGGGGGGGGGTTCTTGGCGCAGAACTCAGCAGGAAGGGCGGCGCGGTAGCGAGTGTCACTAGTGCGGAGGTGCGTAATGAGGTCAGCGACAGTGGGAAAGGCAGAGAGGTCAGGAAAGAGGAAGGGAAGAATGAGACGGCTCAGTGCAGCAGTGGCAGGGGAAGAGTAGCGCGCAACTACAGCGTCGTACAAGGTCTGAGCACTCTTGTACTGACTAAAGTGCGCGCGCTCAGAGGTAGGGAGGTGGCGACGCACAGCAAGACGTGCAGCAGCATCGCGGGTAGCCCACTGAGAGCGCACAGTGGGATCAGCATCAGCAGCAGGGGCAGGAGAGGCGCCAGAAGTGAGGTCAAAGAGAGAAAGGCCGTCTGCTCTATCGCACTGCAAGAACAGCTGCAAGTCGTCGACCCAGACCTCAAAGTCAATGGGGCGACCCTCAGCGTCAAAAGCGAGGACACTAGGGGTAGCCATGACAGCAGTAGACGGTCTCACCAGACAGGACGGGTCGGGCAGCGCAGTAGCACAGCAACACAGCAGCTCAACCGGCTCAGCAGCAACAGCAGCCTCGCAGGACCAGCGGCTCGGCTCCTCAGGCGGTGCAGGCGGCTCGGGTGGCTCGGGCGGCTCGGGCGGCACGGGCGGCTCGGGCGGCTCGAGCGGCGCGGGCGGCGCGGGCGGCTCGGGCAGCCAGCGGCACAGGCGGCTCGGGCGGCTCGGCTCCTCAGCTTCGGAGACGGCTCGGGCGGCTCAGGTCGCACGGCGGCTAGCGGGCGGCGTGGGGGCCGGGACAGCGTCGTGCAGCAGGGACGGGAGAGCGCGGCCGGGACGGGCGGCACAGGGCGGCTCGGGACCGGGTCGGGCGGCGCGCGGGCGGTGAGGGGCCGGGACGGGCGCGCGTGGGTGGCGAGGGGCCGGGACGGGCGCTCGAGGGCGGCGAAGGGCCGGGACGGGCTCGCGTGGGCGGCTAGGGGCCGGGACGGGCGCGCGTGGGTGGCTAGGGGCCGGGACGGGCGCTCGAGGGCGACTAAGGGCCGGGACGGGCTCGCGTGGGCGGCAAGGGGCCGGGACGGGCGCGCGTGGGTGGCTAGAAGCCGGGACGCGCGGCGCGCAGGTGGCGAGGGGCCGTGACGAGCGGCGCGCGGGCGGCTGTGGGCCTGAACGGGCGGCGCGTGCGCGTCTAGGAGCCCTGACGGGCGGCGCGCAGGCGGCTAGGGGCCTGAACGGGCGGCGCGCTGGCGGCTAGGGGCCTGAACGGGCGACGCGCTGGCGGCTAGAGGCCTGAACGGGCGGCGCACTGACGGCTAGGGGCCGGAACGGGCGGGCGTGCTGGCGGCTAGGGGCCTGAACGGGCTGCACGCGAGCGGCTAGGAGCCCTGACGGGCGGCGCGTGGGCGGCTAAGGGCCGGGACGGGCGGCGCGCGGGCGGCTAGGTTGTGAAAGTAAGAGAACAGGAAATGAATGAACTAGCAGTGAAGTGAGTACAAGTAGGAAACCCTAGAATTGTGTACCCCCTATAGGCTAACCCACTGTAGCCTACACAAGCATAACATATATAATGTTTGACACACCCCCATAGGCAAAGTGGGGGAGAACAAGGGGTCACAAGACCAGTCAAGCAAAGCAAAGCAAGCTCAGGGTGGATCACAAAGTCACCACACAGTCCGAGCACAAGAGCAGGGCCAGAGGCCAGTTCACATGCAGGAGTACAGACATATATATAAAACTAGACAAGCAAGAGCAGGTATATATATATGTCACAGTACAAGTGAAGTCAAGAGGAGAGCAAGTGAGGCAAGACAGGTACAAGACCCAGCTGGGTGCAAAAGCGCTGATGGTCACAAGGCGCGAGTGCCTTGGTGAACACATCAGCAGTGTTGGCCTCAGAGGCCACGTACGCAAGTCGCAACTGACCACGCTGCTGCAGCTCACGAGCAAGGAAGTAGCGGAGAGCAATGTGCTTCGTTCTGTGCTCCAAGCGCTGCTCTCGACACAAGGCCAGCATGGCCTTGTTGTCTACGTACAGCACTGGAGGAGAACGAGGCGGCTCTCCAAGGTCAGTCAGCAGGTAGGTGAGCCAGCGAAGCTCCTGTGCAGCCATGGCCCCGGCGTAGATCTCAGCCTCACAACTGGAGCCGAGAACCGAAGACGAGCGAGTAGACCGCCACGAGACAGAGCCGGAACCAAGGCTGAAGGTGTAACCCTGTGACGACCGCTGCGTAGCCTGGTCGTCAGCCCAAGAAGCGTCCGCGTGGCCGGTAAGGACCACTGGACTCCGCCCTCCAAGCACTAGCCCCATGCCCGACGTACTGCACAGGTAGCGCAATACCCTCTTCGCTGCAGCCATGTGCTCCGGTCTGTGTCTCCCAGGAGCAACATAGCGTGCAAGAATGCTCAGAGGGTATGCAAGGTCAGGTCGTGTGCAGGTCATCAGGTACATGAGGCAGCCAACAAGCTCTGCATACAGACCACTCGACTCTACGGACTCATCCAAAGGCAGAGCTGAGAGTGAGTGGCGAGTAGGCAGAGGAGTGGCCTGAGGCGAGGAGTACGTGAAGCCGAAGCGCTGAAGGACCTGCTGCACCATGTGTGACTGAGTCAAGGTAATGGTGCGGCGTGCTCTGTCCCGAGTGATCTGCAAGCCAAGGTAGCTGCACAGTTCACCCAGGTCTGTGCACGTGTGTCTCTTCAGCAGCTTGGACTTCACGTAGGCGAGTCCAGCAGTGTCCGCTGTGGCAAAGACCAAGTCGTCGACGTACACGAGGATGTAGAACGGCGGCAGGGAAGTGTCGGTGCGAAGAAACAGCGACGGGTCAGCAGTAGAAGGAGCAAACCCAAGAGCCGCAAGCGTAGTCCTCAGTGTGTCGTGCCACTCACGCGGTGCCTGGCGGAGACCGTAGACTGGCCGTCGGAGGCTCCACTGGGTGCCAGGAGGGAAAGTCCCAGTGAAGCCAGGTGGACGGCGAAGCCAGATCTCCTCGTGCAGGCTACCCTGCAAGAACGCAGTGCAGAAGTCGAGAGAGTGAAGCTCGTAGTCGCGCTGAGCGGCTATGTGCAGCAACACCCGAAGAGTAGTCATCTTCGGGGTGGGAGAGAAGGTCTGAAAGTAGTCAACTCCCTGCCGCTGACTGAAGCCACGAGCAACGTACCGTGCCTTGAAGACAGGTGGAGAGCCCGGCGGCCGCTTCACCCTGAAGATCCACATGCCACTGACGATGTTCGCCCCAGGAGGGGGAACCGCGTCAACGTAGGTGCCTGTGGACTTCCAGGAAGCCATCTCTGCATCCATAGCTGCCTGCCACTGAGAGGAGTAGGGACCCTCTACGGCCTCCGCGTAAGAACGCGGAGTCGGGATGTCTAGTGCATCCGGGTCTCCCTCAGGGGCAAGCAGTACAGACGCGAGATGAGGTGAAGCAGCCGCTAGACACTGGAACTCCTCCTGCCTGTCCTCTAGGACGTCCGTGCCAAGAGCACACTCACCCCCGACGGACGGAGGACAGACAGACGCAGACTCAGCAACAAGACTAGCAGCGTAGTCGAGACGACAGCGAGCAGCAAAGTCGACGAGCTCAGCGACTAGAGCAGACGCAGCAGTGGACTCAAAAGAGGGGTCAGCGACAACAGTAGCAAGCAGTAGGGAAAGAGCTCGCAGTGGCAGTGGGACTGTGCTCACCAGGCAGGGCAGGTCGTGCAGCTCTGCAGAAAGGCGGCTCGGCGACCAGGCGGCTCGGGTGCAGGGCGGCTCGGGTGCAGGGCGGCTCGGGTGCAGGGCGGCTCGGGTGCAGGGCGGCTCGGGTGCAGGGCGGCTCGGCTCCCGGGCGGCTCGGCGGCAGGGCGGCTCGGGTGCAGGGCGGCTCGGCTCCCGGGCGGCTCGGCGGCACTGCTGCCCGACTGCTGCAGGTGGGGCGACGGGGCCGCGTGAGAGAACTGGGGCGGGGCCGCGTGAGAGCCGGCGGCAGGGCCGCGTGAGGGCCGGCGGAGGGGCCGCGTGAGAGCCGGGGCGGGGCCGCTGCAGAGCTGGCGGCGGGGCCGCAAGAGAGCCGGCGGAGGAGCCGCTTAAGAGCCAGGGCAGAGGCCGCGTCAGGGCCGGCGGCGGGGCCGTAAAAGAGCCGGCGGCGGGGGCCGTGAGAGGGCCGGTGGCGGGGCCGCGTGAGAGCCGGGACGGGGCCGCGATCTGGAGGCGGCGGCGGGGCCGCGTCAGAGCCGGCGGCTGGGCCTCGTCGGGGCGGGCGGCGGGGCCGCGTTGGAGCCGGCGGCGAGGCCGGCTAAGAGCCGGCGGCGGGGCCGGTGAGGAGCCGACTGTGGGGCCGCGTCAGGGCCGGCGGCGGGCCGCGATCAGTGGGCCGCGGGGCCGCGTTGGAGCCAGCGGCGGCAGGGTCGCGTCAGAGCCGGCGGCGAGGCCGGCTAAGAGCCGGCGGCGGGGCCGCGTAGGAGTCGACGGCGGGGCCGCGTCAGGGCCGGCGGCGGGCCGCGATCAGCGGGCGGCGGGGCCGCGTCAGAGGAGGCGGCGGGGCCGCTTCAGAGGAGGCGGCGGAGCCGCGTCAAGCAGGGGTGGCGGGGCTGCGTCAGAGGGACAGCGGGGCCGCGAGAGCAATGGCGACCCGAAGGGTCGCGAAAAAAAAAATGCGCGCCTCGGGGCGCGCTTCGGTGGGCCCTAAAAAAAACAGTCCTAAGGAAGGACCCGCTCTGATACCATGTGAAAGTAAGAGAACAGGAAATGAATGAACTAGCAGTGAAGTGAGTACAAGTAGGAAACCCTAGAATTGTGTACCCCCTATAGGCTAACCCACTGTAGCCTACACAAGCATAACATATATAATGTTTGACATAGGTGCCTGAACGGGCGGGCGCGGGCGGCTAGGTGCCGAGACGGGCGGTGCGCGGGCGGCAAAGGGCGGCTCGCGCGGGCGTTTAGGGGGCCGCAGGGCAGGCCAAAAAAGGAGAGTGCAAGGGCCTGGAGCGCGCTCCGGGCAGAAAAAAAAGTTTTGAAGGTGGTGGGCCCTAAGCACCGTTCCCACGGGGGAACCTGCTCGATACCATGTTGAGAATAGAACGAGAATGAATGAACTATGAATGAAGTGAGTACAAATAGGAAACCCTAACTGGGTTGTACCCCCTATGGGATACCCCACTACAGCCTACACAATAGTATAAGCTATATATATGTTCTGACACGCCTGAACGGTAGGACCACCTTGCCGACTTGGGTCAAAGCATGGCGGACGCTGCGGCTTTAGCGGCATCGGCGATAGAAGAGTTGATCCGCCGGCCGGCACTG